ATTTTTTTCAAAGGCTTTTTTTTGCATCTAATGAGATGATCATGTGATTTTTTTTGCCTTTCAGTTTCTTTATATGGTGAATTGCATTTATCAACACACACACACACACACACACACACACACACACACACACATATATATATATATATATATATATATATATATATATATGTTGACCCACCCCCATCTCTAGGATGAAGCCTACTTGATCATGGTAAATTATCTTTTCGATGTGTTCTTGGATTTGTTTGGTAAGTATTTTATTGGGAATTTTTACATCTATGTTCATAAGAGAAATTAGTTTGTAATTCTCTTTTGTTGGGTCTTTATATGGTTTAGGTAGCAAGGTAACTGTTGTCTTGTAAAACAGATTGGGCATGTTCCTTCTGTTTCTATTTTGTGGAATAATTTGAGGAGTATTGGCATTGTCTTCTTTGAAAATCTGGTATAATTTTGTGCTAAAATCATCTGATGTTGGCCTTTTCTGATTGAGAGACTTTTAGTGCCTGCTTCTATTTCACTAGGGGAATAGGTCTGTTTAGATTACTTATCTGACCTTAACTTTGGTAAGTGGTATGTATCAAGAAATTATCCATTTCTTTTAGGTTTTCCAGTTTTTTAGAGTACATGTTTTTAAAGTTTGTTCTTAGGATTCTTTGGATGTCTTTGGTGTCTGTTGATGTCCCCCACTTAATCCCTAATTTTGTTAATTTGGATATTCTCTCTCCGCCTGCTAGTTAATTTGGATAAAGGTTGGTCAGTCATACTGATTTTCTCAAACAACCAGCTCTTTGTTTCATTGATTCTTTGTATTTTTTGTTGTTGTTCTATTTTACTGATTTCAGCCCTAAGTTTGATTATTTCTTGACATCTACTCCTTTTGGGTGTGATTTCTTCTTGTTGTTCTAGAGCTTTCAGGTGTGCTGTTAAATTACTAGGATCAGACCTCTCCAGATTTTTTATGTAGGCACTTAGTGCCATCCACTTGCCTCTTAGAGCCACCTTCACTGTATAGCATATGTTGTGTATTCATTGTCATTCAATTCTAGGAAGTCTTTAACTTCTTTCTTATGTCTTGACTCATTATTTTCATTCCGTAGTGAATTAGTAAGTTTCCATGAGTTTGTAAGCTTTCTATTGTTTCTGTTGTTGTTGATATTCAACTTTAATTGATGGTGGTCAGACAGAATGAAGGGTGTTATTTCAATTTTCTTCAAGTATCTGTTGATGCTTGTTTTGTGTCCGAGTATGTGGTCAGTTTTAAAGAAAGTTCCATGAAGTACCGAGAAGAAGGTATTCTTTTGTGTTCAGTGTAATGTTCTGTAAATATCTGTTAGGTCCATTTGGTTTATAACATATGTTAGCGCCAGCATTTCTGTTCAGGTTTTGTCTGGATGACCTGTCTGTTGGCAAGAGTGGGGTATTAGAGTCTCCTACTGTCAGTTTCTGAAGGTCAATAGGTGATTTAAGCTGAGTAGTGTTTCTTATATGAACATGGATGCTCTTATGTTTGGTGCATAGATGTTAAGAATTACAATGTCCTTTGGTGGAGTTTTCCCTTTGATGAGTATGTAGTGTCCCTCCCCATCTTTTCTGATTAGTTTTGGTTCAAATATTATTTTGTCAGATATTAAAATGGCGTAACCAGCTTGTTCTTAGGTCCATTTGCTTGGAGCATCTTTTTCCATCCTTTTACCCTGAGCTGATGTCCGTCCTGACGTTAAGTGTGTTTCTTGGGATGCAGCAGAAGGATGGCTTCTGTTTTCACAACCATTGTTAGCCCGTGTCTTTATATTGGGGAATTGAGACCATTGGTCTTCAGAGATATCAATGAGCAGTGTCTGTTGATTCCTGTTATTTTGTTGTGGTGGTGGTGTTAGTGTGTTTCCCCTCTTGAATTGCTGATCTTGGATTATTTATTCCCTGTGGTTTTTTTAGATGTGGTTTATCTCTTTAAATGGAATTTTCCTTCTAGAACCTTTGGAAGGGCTGTATTTGTAGATAAATATTCCTTAAATTTGGTTTTATCACATAATGTCTTATTTTCTCCGTCTATTGTGATTGAAAGTTTTGGTGGGTATAGTTGTCTGGGATGACATCTTTGGTCTCTTAAGAGTCTGTAGAACATCTGGCCAGGCCCTCTGCCTTTCAGAGTCTCCACTAAGAAGTTAGGTGTAATTCTAATAGGTCTCCCTTTACTTGGTCATTTCCCCTTGCAGCTTTTATTATTCTTTCTTTGTTCTGTATCTCTAGTATTTTGGATTTAACATTTTCTTCGATTGAGGTGTACATTTCTTCTCTCATGTCTTCAATGCCTGAGATTCTCTCTTCCACCTCTTTTTCTAAAGATGTATTTATTTATTTATTATATATACAGTCTTCTGCTGTATGTCTGCCTGCAGGCCAGAAGAGGGCACCAACTCTCATTATAGATGGTTGTTGTTGCTGGGAATTGAAGTAAGGTTCTCTGGAAGAGCAGCCAGTGCTCTTAACTGCTGAGCCACCTCTCCAGCCTCTCTCTTCCACCTCTTGTAGTCTGTGGGTGAGGCTTGTCTCTGAGGTTCCTGTTTGAGTTCTTGAGTTTTTCATTTCCAGGTTCCCTTAGTTCCGTTTTTTCTTTATTGATTCTAATTTCACTTTCCAGTCTTGAGCTGTTTTCCTTCCATTGTTTGTGTTTTCTCAGATTTCTCCAGGGGATTTATTCATTTCCTCTATCATATCCATAAAGGCTATTTTCATGTCTTTGTTTTTTTGCTTTAATTATGTTGTAATTCTCAGGGCCTAGACTGGTAGGGTTTCTGGTGCTGTTATCTGATCTTGTCTTTGTTGGGTGGGTGTTTTGTTCCTTGATTTCTGTTGCCCTCTTTCACTCTTAGGAGGGTGTGGTAGCTGTAAATTGCCTGGTAGGGAATTCTTACGGGATTTTGATAGGTGTGCCTCTGGGGGATTCAGGGTAAAATGTTTTTCTAGGTATTGGGGGGGGGGTGGCACTTAATGAATGAGGATGGGCTGGGGTGGGGGATACTGGGGGTGTCTACAGAAAGGAAGAAAGCAGGGTATTCCACCAGGCTCTGCTCAGTTCCCTGGGGCTGGGGCAGAGAGGGAAGGGAGATTACTACAAGTAGTCTGCTACAGAGCTGGGGATGAGACTGGGGACTGGATCTGGAGATGAGGAGGGAACGGAAAGACATGAAGCTCACCTTCCCTGCTCTGCTGGCCTACTTGGTTTCTGGCAGGGTTGGCTGGCGGGTTCCCAGGGGATGCCTGTGCAGTAGGGGCTGGAATAAAGTGATGAGTTTGGGGAAGGAAGATTGAAGGGGAAGATGTGTGACCCACCCAAGATGGTGGGAGGGGAAGGGAGAAAGGGGAAGGAGGAGGCCGCAGATGGTCGCTGGAGAGCTGAGGGAGAGACTGGGGGCTGGATTTAGAGAAGTGAGAGGTAGGATCTGCAGTTACCTGCCGGCTTCCCTGGCTGGAGTTCTCACTGTTTTCTGATTGGCCATTTTCAAGAGGAGTGTTTCTGCCTTCAGGCCGTTCTGTGGAACAGGTCTGTTGAGGGAGCAACTGGCTCCAGTGAGTGGAGTCTTTCCCAGCAGGTGTCTGGACTGCCCAGCTGCCTTTGCTCAACCCCATGCCCAGGTGGATTAGGTATGCCTTAACCCTTGTGTGCCCAATCAACGGCCAGAGTCTGGATGACAAGATGACAACTTATGACTCCCCTGCCCTTCGAATCCCCTACTTCCTGCTTATGATGCCCTCCTCCCTGTGCCACTGTTAAGAAGCCTCAGGATGGTTCACATGAGATGTTGACTAACCTGGCAAGGCCCAGAGGCAAGGCTAGCTTTTGGGATGATTTAGTTTGGGTATTCTGCAATGCTGTCATGACCTGGCTCCCTCTTCTCACTTTCCCCTTCTGCTATATGGGTTTTTATCTATGGTGGCTCCTCACGGATGTGCATCCCTGCCCCTAGAGGCCTTCTGGGGAGTAGAGGTGACCTCTTGTGTCTTCACAGGCAAGCAAGGTCCTAGGACATATACTGGCAGCTGCCAAGGCATCTGTATGGATACCTCTGTCATTTTCCCTGTGGTTCCTGACCAGAGAAACAGAAGGTGGGGGAATAAAATATTTGCGTATTTGTATGATTGTTGTATGGGCAACAGAAAGGACTTGGATATGATAGGCAGGAAATCTATCCCCTTACCACACCACATCTGTGCCAGACCCTGCTTATGTTTTGTTACATGGCAGAGACTAAGGTCACCACTAGCCTGAAGGTTGCAAGAATTCCCCTGAATCATCCAGGTGGACCAAAATCATCATAGTGTCCTGGAAAGTGGGAGAAGAAGAGAGAAGATGTAGGTCTGGGCATGTGGTTGCTGGTTCTGGAGATGGAGGAAGGGGCCTCAGAACAAGAGAGCTCAGCAGTTCTGGAGGCAACAACAGGCAAGAGCCTCCAGAAGAGTCACAGCCCCAAGCCTCAAGACTTTAGCCCTTGAGTTCCAGAACTGTAAGGGGAGAAATCTGAGCTGGTTTAAGCCTCTGAATTCATAGTAATTTGTTCTGCTGAGGTTGTAGAGTAACATGGGAAATGTGGGGTCTTGGCATTTTTGCCTACTGAGATGAAACTTTATAGCTGGCAGTGGTGGTGCACACCTGTAATCCCAGCACTCAGGAAGCAGAGGCAGGAGGATTGCAAAATTGAAGCCAGCTTGGGCTATATCAAGGGGGTAAGAGGGGGGCGGTGTTTGCACATCTGCTTTGTGTAGAGAAGGGCCGGAGTCTGCACTGCCCTGGAAGCAGGCCACATGCTGCCCCTTGCCCAACGCCCCACCTGCTTCTGTCCTGCATGTCCATTCTCTGACATGATGTTCCCCACTCCGAGAACACCACATTTACCAGACCCTGGGATTCTTGTTCAACCGAAACTCACACTCACCCACAATACGAAAACCAAATGCGGGCAATTGTTCATTAGCAAAAATGTATTTTATAAGTCCGCAGTCAGAGCGTTTCTTCATTATAAAGTCAGCCTGAGAACAATGCAGCCTCGTGCAGAGCACGAACTGAGTCAGTAAGGCTGACAGCTGCAGTCCTTTATCAGCCCGGCATCCAAATTACTTCCCCATTGTGTTTCCTCGCTCAGCGCCCAGCAATCCTGCCTCACAAAGATAAGAGGCCCCAGTAGCAGGCATTTTCTAAGGGTCTTCATGCAGTGTCAGAAGCCCTTCAGTGACAGTGAAGGAGTAACAGGAGGTCTGTCCAAATGGAATCTCCAACAATAGTTCTCCGGGAGGGCAGCGCGGGTTGTTTTGAATCACAAATAGGAGAGTCAGACAAGAAGCCCTGAGCTGAAAGTGAGCACTAAAGCCCACAAGCCTGTTCTCTGGTTCTGGATACAGAACAAAGGGAATTCACAGCAGATATCCCAGACCTTGGACGCACCTGTGGGGAATCAGGCTGAGAATAGTCCCAGCTCCTGCCTCTCCTCCAGCTTGCGGCACAACTGCTCCAGGGAGTCCAGCCACTCTCCTGAGTCCTCCCCAGCAGCTTCCTTGCAAAGCTGCCTTCTCATACCTGGTAGCATTGACAGCGATGGTGTCCTAGCCCAGGATGACTCTCACTTCCCATGATGCCCTGGAGGCGTCTACTTATGTTCTCAAGGGGCTGAAGACCCAAGGGAGTCCTCATCACTGCTAAGTAGCCAAGCATGGGGAAATCAGAAACAACTGAAACACATTCCCTTCTCTCGCTGAAGTCTAATACTCCCTAAGGCTGGGCTCTGACTTGTTCTGCCCCTAGTCCTGGGAAATGCATGGTGGCAGTAAGAAGGCCAGCAGCGAAAGCCTGTTCATGGTGTTTGTGTTTAACACGGTCTATCACTCAGCATTTTCTCACTCAGTCCACACACCAGCCCTGTAAAGGATGTGGGCTTTCCCTTCCCATTCTGTATAGGAAGGCAAGATTTGGAAAAGTTCTGCCATGGTCCTGGCTGCCAAGTGGCCAGTGCATTCAGAAGATAAGCCACTACAGCCCACCATCCAGGTGACAGGCCGCTTCTAACAAGCCGAGGTGGTGAGCAGGGACAGGGATTCTGGAAGGGGAGTCAGGGGGGCAGAGGCACAGTAAAGCCTCTCCCCATCCTGGCTGCCAATGCGAGGAGCAGCTCTGGTTTGCCTCAGAAAAGGAAACCTCAGTTTACCATCCTCCACTAGGGGGCAGAATGAGGACACTGGAACTTGACGTCCCCTACAGGCTCAGATCACGCCAAACTCCACCCATGCAACAGGGACTTAGGGGTGACCCTAGAGAGACAGGCATGGTCCCTGCCTCCCAGAGTGTAGCATTCTGGGGCACACCTGTGCTGGGCCCCCAGAATTCCCAGCTTGGTGTCAGAAACAAGGTCAAGTGGTTCCGTTTGACTGAGCCTGCCTATCCTGTCAGGGAGGGGTTGAACCTGGAGAGAAAACACACACACACACACACACACACACACACACACACACAGTCTCCATGCAGGGTTTGCTGTTCTCCAGGAAGATCCCAGGGCATCCGCTCTGCTTACACGGGAGCTCTTGTGAAGTTGTTGAACAGCCACCAACTGGATCTGCTGTGCATCCAGAAATATGAATGGAAACAGAATAGATGGGTTTCCAAGTGTAATTTGCACATCATCCCTAACATATCTAGGGAGAGCTCACTGTTCCCTGCTCGCCCTGAAGTAGGCTTTACCTCACCCTCCCAGCCAGGAGAGGGATCTGAAGGAGGCAATAGGCGTCTCTTCTCTCCTCACTAGAGCCTGGGCCCCCATGTTTAGACCTGCTCTGTTCAGTCAACCTGAGGATGGTCCTGTACAGCTGAGAGCTGGGCCAAGGCTCTGGGCAGGTTCAGTCTAGACATGCAGGACTAGCCCCAATTCCTGTGTCCAGGAATGCTCTGCTCACTGTGGCCCATGGTCCAAACAGAGCTGGGCTCAGGTACGAACATTTGGCCCATAGTGGGCACTGTTGCTGTAGGTCAGGGCAGTTCTAACAGACAGACTAAGTTAGGGCAAAACCCCAAGAAAGATGGCTCCTCTATCCAGGCCTAGACCTATGCTCCTTCCTCTTTCAGGCACTGGTCGCCTAGTTATAAGCTTTCTACTCTCAGGGACAAATCTTGTGTGCAAGCCATGTGACCAGGCTAGACTAGATGCCACAGACGGGCACCAGCTTTCCTACTTTAGGGCCTTTGACTGGCCTCTCCCAGGATGTCATCATCAAAAGCACCCATGGGACTGCTTGGCCGTATTCCTGAGCCCCCAGCAGAGGAGGCGCTGCCTTCCTTGGACTCCTTGCCCCACTCTCATGAACCTCATCACCACCCTATCTACTCTATTAGACTGGGATGCCTCTAAGGGAAGACCCTGTACTGCCAGCCCTGCACGGCTCAGTGCAGCTTTACACAGCGGCCGCTCTGCATGCAATGAGAACATCAGCACCACACAGTATGCTGGCTCGTGCATTTGGAGACCTGGCTGCCAGGCTATGGCCCCTCCAGCTGCGCGACCCTCATCTTTGCCCTCGGTGGTCACCACCCTCATCGATCAGATCTGAAGGTGGTGGGATGAGGTCTCGGGGGTTCATCCTAGCTACCAGGCAGACGTCATAGCTGTCATGCATGAGGACATTGATGGCGACAACGTTCCACTGGTTCTCCCAAGGGTCCAGCTCCAAAATTTCTTTGGAGATAACCTCATGGCGATCTGAAAGACAGCAATAGAGGAAGATAAACAAATAAACAAACAAAAAACACTTGGTATGTTAATCTCAGAGGCTGTGACCACTCTGACTGCATCCTCTTCGAGGGCCAAGGGTTAATCAACAAACCACTGAATAAGGTACTTTAGGACAGTGGAAGTATGTGTCCTGATATTTAAGAATTTAAAGAAGGCTATCATGCAGCTCACATTAAAACATTGTCTCAGCACGGCTGGAGAGATGGCTCAGCAGTTAAAAGCACCTGTTGCTCTTGCAGAGGACCCAAGTTCAATTCCCAGTACCCACACGGGCAGCTCACAACCACCTGTAACTCCAGTTCCAGAGGATCTGACATCCTTTTCTGGCCTCCTGGGACACCATACACACATAGTACATGTACACAGAGGCAGACACTCACACATACACAGAAAATGAAAATAAAAATATCTTTAAAAAGTATTCAAGCATTGCCAGACTACACCACTGTCTCATGTTGGAAGGATGTTTCAATGCTGTGGCGCTGTCTTGATTTCTGTATGCACAAGTGTTGTAGAATATTATATTTGTTTATGCTGTGGAACATTTGTTTAATGGTGCAAAGATGTGTTGCATTTTTTGTTGCATTTGTTTAACTCTGTGAAGCTGTGTTGCTGTGCCTGCCTAAAACACCTGATTGGTCTAATAACAAGCTGAATGGCCGATAGCAAAGGAAGAGAAAGGATAGGCAGGGTTGGCAGGCAGAGAGAATAAATAGAAAGAAGATATAGGAGCAAAAGGAAAGAAGGAACAAGACAGAACAAGGAGGGGAAGACATCAGGGCTCAGTTACCTAGCTACACAGCAAGCCACGGAGAAATAAGAAAAGATACAGAAATAGAGAAAGATAAAATCTCAAGGCAAAAGGTAGATGGGATAATTTAGGATAAGAAAAACTGGCTAGGAACGAGCCAAGCTGAGGCTGGACATTCATAAGTAATAAGACTCTGTGTGTATGTTTTATTTGGGAGCTGGGTGGCAGGCCCCCAAAGAGTAAGAGCTAAAGAGTCAAAAGAGAAAAGAATAAACAACCAACAACACACAAGGGGGAGCACAGCCTGAGTAGTGTGACCTTGACCCAGCCATCACCTTCTCTGCACAGGTTGGTGGACAGATACTGACACTCAGACAGGATGTGGGCAGGAAGCAGACAGCGTGAGAACCCTGGGCAGCTTGAGAACTTAGGCTTGAGGAAGATGTGGGCTGGGTTTTAGAAGACCTGTCACAGATGCCCCAGTGTTCCTGGACTGAGAAAGAGCAGGGGTTCACAATCCTGCAATGAGAGGTCACAGTGCTTTCCAGAGGGGTTTTCTGGAGGGGTCTGCCTGGCAGGAGCTTTTGCAGGAAGAAGAGAGGGGCAACCAGACTTGGCAAGTGGACAAGGGCTGCCGTGCGGGGATGGATGTCCTGCTTGGTACGTCATGTGACGGTCAGCCAGGCGTGCCATGCCAGGAGGAACTATGGGAGGGAAAGAGCCTAGTGTAAGTGTCCAGAGGCAGGAGACCAGGTACACCGTTCAGTGAGAAGATACTAGGTGGTCAGGCAGCAGAAGGAAGGCATGAGAGCTCAGGCTAGGCTTCCTTTTCAAAGATCAGGTGCCTACTACTGTCTAGGTTCTTTATTTTGTCAATTTTTAATAATTTATCTTTATGTATATGTGTGTGCACGTACCCACAGAGCCTAGACGAAACCATCAGAACCCCAGGTAGTTATGAAATGTTCTTTGGGGTGCTGGAAACTGAACTCAGGTCCTCTGCAAGAGCAGCAGTGTTCTTAATTGCTGATACATCTCTTCATTCCCCTGATATTTTCATATTTATTTTTCTATATTCCTTAATTATGTAAAGATATTTAAAATATCTATCTCTTATTCCTTTTTTGGGTAAAAATACCAACTTTGTTTCTTCTAAATGTTTTCATGTAAAATACAAACAATTTTACACAGCTGTCTTATAAATAAAATGTCATTTTTAGAATAGTAAAATCTTTTAAGGAAAGAAACTACAGCTTTTCTTAGAAAAAAGTTCTTTCTACATACAAGGAAACCTCTTTAACAGAACTTTAGCCTGATACCCGTTCTGGCCAGCAGGTGGGTATGGATTCAAGGGTACAGAGAAATAATTTGCAGCCTGGGCACCAAGGACTGATGCAGGAAGTGGGCTGGGTCAACTGTATTCATTCTTCCTGAGATTTTAACCTGGAGGGAAAGGCCAACTCGTGTGACTAAGACTTCAGAAGGTCATCACCTAGATTCTGCTACTTGGCCCTTTAAGAAAAGTCGCTGACCCCTGGTGTACATCAAGGTTAGAAGGTTTACGTCTGGATTACGTCGAAGCCAGAAAAAAATGAAATCCAGAAACCTTCAGGAGGAATGTACTTAGCACAAGCTCTGTGGAGCCTCAACTCTCCCGGGGTGGAGAGTCCAGGCAGGCAGGCAGGCATACCCCCGCTTCTCACTCAGGCCTGCTTGTGGATGGGGCCCGGCTGGAGATGCTCCCAGGTGCAGTACTGAACCGAAGACTGAGCTGATCAGAAGGCTGAAGCACACCAAGCAGAGGTCAGCACAGGGAGAGGCGATATGTCTGAGTGAGGGGCACAGAGCTGAAATCCGGAAAGCACTGGCCTAGGCCTCTCTGATGTGCTTGGAACACAGAGGAATTGTGCTAGTCTGTTCTGAGGCCAGAGGGGTTCTGGTTTTCATCTGCGGATCTTTGTGCTCAGGCATCCTTCCAACCCAATGCACAAAGACACTTGAGGGCATATGTGTGGCTTACATTGAAAGAGCTTAACTAACGCAGAAGCGAGGGCAGACAGATTTGGTCAACTTGGAACAATGTATCATTGCTTTAAAGTGATATTTTATTTATTTGTCTCTAGGTTTTATATTTGAACCCCATTGCCTTGTGCCTCTTTTCATTCTTTGTAATGTCCTCGGAGGATGGACTGCAGCGTCACATCATAGGTGATCCTCAAGTGCCCGGCAAACGCCAAAGACAGCTGACTATGAACACATTGGCCCTCTGTGTCCACTGATTCCGCATCTGTGAACTTGACCAGCCCTGGATGTAAAATAGGCAAAGGCGCCTACATCTGTGTGAGCATGCAGTTTGTCCTCTTGTAAGGACCATTTGCAGTCAGGCAGTGTGGCACACACCTTTAATCACAGCACTCAGGAGGCAGAGGCAGGCAGATTTCTTGAGTTCAAGGCCAGCCTGGTCTACAGAGTAAGCTCCAGGATAGCCAGGGTTGCACAGAGAAACCTTGTCTCGAAACACAAAGAGAGAACCGTTTGCATAGCTGTGATAATGTGCTAGCTCATACACAAAATGTAGAAGCAGACTGTGGGTCATGACTCCATACGTGCCAGCTGTGAAAACTTTGTCAACAGCAAACATTTTATAAATGCCCAAGGACTAAAAATTAGTTCAACATCAAATGCGCATTGCACCGGAGGATTTCTGGCAGTGCTCACCTGTGTGGCACTGTGACCTCAAGGCCGTCCTGATTCTAAACACGCAGCACCAACAATTGCTCTGTGCTCATCACACCACGGTGCTCTAAACACCTCGGCTTGGATTCAAACCTATGCACTATATGTTAGGAACTGCAGGGCTTTTGTTTTGCTAATCTTTTTTTTTCTTTTGGTGTCTTTTGAGACAGGGTTTCTCTGTAGTTTTAGAGCCTGTCCTGGAACTAGCTCTTGTAGACCAGGCTGGCCTTAAACTCAGAGATCCACCTGCCTCTGCCTCCCGAGTGCTGGGATTAAAGGCGTGTGCCACCACCACCCAGTTTGTTTTGTTAATCTTGTTTTTTATTTTTTTCTAGTTTTCTTTCCTTTTCCTTTATCATCATCATCATCATCATCATCATCATGATCTCTCTATGTTGTTCCAAGCCCTGGCTGTCCTGGAACTCACTTTGTAGACTAGCTGGTCTCAAACTCACAGAGATCCTCTTGCCTCTGCCTCTTGAGTACTGAAATTAAAGGTGTGTGTCACCATTTGCAGAAACTTCACTGCTTTTATTAAACACACAAAATTTCTGCTCTTTTTCTAATTTTTAAAGATTTATTTTATGTACATTGTGCACTACACATGTGCCAGGTGCCTGTGGGGGTTAGAAGAGGGGATCAGATCCCCTGGACCTAAAGATACAGATGATTCTGAGGGGCCCTGTGTGTTCTGGAACTCAGACCCAGGCCTTCAGCGAGAGCACAAGTACTCAACCACTGAACCGACGCTCCAGCCTCAAATTTCTGCTCTTATAGAAACACAGTTGTTTAATTTGGATCACAAAGACTTTTACTATTTCCCTACTGCTGTTCCTAAGCATATAATACTCAAATCCATGAGTATTTTGGGGTTGTTTTGTGTTACACTGTGGGCAAATTTTGACTTGTGTACCTTTTTTATGTTTTTATGTATCTGTACCTAGGGTCATGTAAATTCTCTGGTGAAAATGGGTGCAAGTGAAAAAGTTTAAGAAGTCCTGGTGTAAGGTTTCCAGATGTGTGTAAACTACACAGACTGTTGTCATATACGGACTTGAGCATTTCCGGAATCTGCACTGCCAGGGATGGCAACAGAGAAATAGGTGGTTGCTGAAAGAAAATCTGAACAAACCCTCCACATGTACTTGTCTTTAGATGATTAAAAATCATTATTTTGGGGGTCACACAGATGAGTGATATGTCTTAGTTTTCCACTAGGTGTGCTGTACAGAACACCTACAACGTGGGTGACTGTATAGAACACCTATGACATGGGTGACTATATAACACCTATGGTGTGGGTGGCTGTATAGAGCATGTATAATGTGGGTGGCTGTAGAACATCAACCGAGGTACTTTCAGAGATCTGGAGGTTACTAATCACCTACTATAGTTGAGCTTATGGACCCAGCAGCTTAAGCATCCAGACTCCTTTAGTTTTTACCCCATCCTTGTTCCCGTAAGTACCTGATGTCCTCCA